GTGGGGGGGTGGGTTGTTTTTGTGGTTTGTTTGTTTGTGTTTTGTTTAATTAATTCAAATGCAGTAGTGTAGCACCCACAATGCACCCGTTGTCTGCTAATAGTTTTTAGTGTTCTATTGTCATTTGGCTGTTCCATCGTTTAGAGTTTATGCAATGCTTTTTCATTACTGTTTCAGAGTTAGTTTTATAAGGGGGCTGGCGTGGTGCGTTCTGTTTGTGGTGTGGAATGCTGCAATGCCTGGTTGTAGTCCTAACCAATATCTATAAAACGTTCCTTCAGTTCCCAACGACTGAGTTGCTCTATGAGTCACTGAGTACTGGTTTAATTTTAAATGTATTAACTGTAAGACGTTTTGTTCTGCTTCTCTGTTCTTAAAGGCCTAAAAGGCAGTTGAATTCACTAAATTCGCATAATGTACAGATAAGCCTATGCTACAATGCACATGCTCAGCACACGAATCCATGATTGTCGACAAAGCAAGACAAATGTTGATCGTAAATATAGTTATATATGTAATTTTTGATACAAAATAGTCTCTTTTACCCTATAATTGTTGCTATGTATTTGTGCTGTCGTGTTGTTAGCTTAGCAACATGCTTAGCAACATGTTTAGTTGCTATTGTGCCTTTCAAGTGGAATTAAAAACATAATTATGGGTTCCGAGCACATGAATAATCAAGCAAAATCTTATTTACAACTGAGAAAGTAGATGAATTCTAGAATGATAGACGAGTTGCTGAGTTGTGGCGTTGGGAAGGACATGTCTATTTAAAACGTGGAGTAAACACTGATCTGTAATATTGATAATATAATATTTAGAATCTATTTATAGAGCTCAGTTATCAGAAAGCAAGTCTGTGAATGGTGTAAAGTTAATCACACAGCTTTCACGGTTTGCTTAACAACCCTCTACGCACACCTTGGCAATATAATCGCCATTGGCTAGTAAATTGTTTTGTTTATTAATGTAACACATTTAGTTGTGATACAGTGCCATGTATAAGTACTATTGAATGTATAAGTGCTATTGAATGTATAAGTGCTATTGAATTCAGAACTTTCATTTTGAATTATGATGTCATTATTTTTCTGTTTAAAATATAATACTTTTGGTTCGATTAGATTGTTTCCATGTTATGTTTTTGACTTGAATTTGTGACCTGTCTTAATAACGAATGAGGTATGAGCTTCTCGCATGTACTTGAAGGCAGCATCTGATCCATTTCTGTTAGGATGCTGCCTTAGAAGGCAATAGACAGCAAAGCAGCTCACTAGGTTTGGAACAGAGCCTCTATCTGTATCTTAGGGCTATCAGTATAACTCTTAAAATATGAATAAATACACTGATAGTTTGAGTTACAGCATGACCTGTTTAGTAAAATGACAAACAATAGGGAAAATCACCCAGAAGGTCCAATCTGTATTTTAGTTGCCTGTTGTTTTCTGTAAGATATGACATTTCATTATAAATCTGACCATGACTTTCTTAACTTGTAGTTATAGCCATGATTTTTGTGCTCTGTAAATGGCTGAAGGTACTTCTTTTGCTCTCAAATAATGGATGGAGCCATCATGAGCATCTATGTGGGAACATTCACATTTAAACCAACAGGTGAAAATGTCAGCTCAGTTTAAACTAGGATCAAGATGCTAACAATAGAATGTGTGAAGGAAGGCAGAGGTAGTGTCTTCAAGTCTCCTAGATGAGCTTGTCCTGTCCCCAGGCAGTAGTCTGCAAGCCGAGAGTTGCCGCTCTCTCTCTCTCCGAGAAGGAAGTTAGGAATGGATGGTAGCAACGTTGAAAAAGCCAGTGGGGGGGAGGGTGACGGGCTGCTCCACGGGGAGCCAAGAGCTGCCTGGTCAGGGATCAAATTCTCGCACTGTTGGCTTGCTCGCATCCATAATTCATGTGCTTTTTTACTTGCAGTGGAAAATGGAAAATGTGCTGTGCTTTTTATTCCAACTCTCTCCCGCTCTCTCTCGCTCTTGTATTTGCTTTTGTCCTTTCATTTCATCAACCCGTTCCAACTAGGCCTATTCTCTCTGACATGAAAGAGTCCGCTTGAAAGCAGGCATTATTTGCTGGGAAACCCGTAGATTTTTTGGGTTTGTTGGATTTTCATTTTTCCGCCTGTACTCATTCCTGTGGCTCTTAGTCTTATTTTTCTTCACATTGCTTTCATATAGGTTAGGGATGTGCAAAACTATGTATTTTCAAAATGGGTTAGCCTGTGAGTTGCGTGAATGACTAGTTGAATAGTCATCTGTCCTTAATCGCACTTGTTTCCTCAAGTATCTATTTTTACCCAAAGCACCTGGAAGTTTAGGAGTGTTCACTTCACGTCTTACTGTATTTATAAGATTACAACTTGTAAATTTTGTAATTAAAATGCATTATAATGTCATTAAGCAATTATTTCATTATGTATCAGTTTAATAATTCGTATAATTGACTTGTTAATAATGTTGAAATAATAATAACCTAAACAAATAACAAAATGCAGTTTAATTCAGCTAGTAAATGGTTGAAATAATATCTAATGTCCCAGTAAATAAAGTATTTAATTTAACTATATTAATAAGGCAATGC